GGACCGGCCCTGCCCTGGGCCTGCTGGCCACACTATTGCTGATACAAGACAGGATGCCACTGGTCTTCTTGGCCACCTGGGCACACTGCTCGTTCATGTTCAGCTGCTGTCAATCAGTATCCCCAAGTCCTTTTCTGCTGGGCAGCTTTCCAGCCACTCTGTCTCTAGCCTGTAGCACTGCATGGAATCGTTGGGACCCAAGTGCAGGACCAGCACTTGGCCTTGTTGAATCTCATACCACTGTCCTCAGCCCTTGGATCCAGCCTGTCCAGAGCCCTCTGCAGAGCCTTCCTACCCTCCAGCAGATCAACACTCCCACCCAACAGGGTCCACCTGATCCCCTTGTCCATGTCACTGATGAAGATACTAAACAGAAACTGGCTCCAGTGCTGATCCCTGGGGAACACCACTGGTGACTGGCTACCAGGCTGGCCATCATTCACCACCATTCTCTGGGCCATCCAGACAGGTTTTCACCCAGTGAATAACGCATCTGTCCAAGCCGCTGGCCATCATTCACCACCATTCTCTGGGCCATCCAGACAGGTTTTCACCCAGTGAATAGTGCATCTGTCCAAGCCATGGGCTTCCAGCTTTTCCAGGAGAGTGCTGTGGGCAAATGTGTCAAAGGCTTTGCTGAATGCCAGCGAGACAACATCCACAGCCTTTCCCTCAGACACTGGGTGTATCCTTTACGATTCTAGTGAGGGTATAACAAGCCCATTGTGACCCTGGAGTGGGTGAAGGTAGGGAACACTAGTCCTTTAGATATATTATTTAGATAGAATTTTGGCCTCTGAGCCCAAATGGGCAGAGGTATTTTTTAAACCTGAAGCAGGAATCTAAATCCTAGAGAAGTACTGGATTTAGGATACAACCCTGCAGTTGATCCTTTCCTATTGTTTAGGAATACACAATCTCTTCTTGTACAGAAGGTTTCTGAAGCATTCTTCTAATAGCCCTTAAAGTCCCCTTCAGCTTTACCTGGTTTCAGCTGAGAGTTAGTTTTCTTCCTAGCAGCTGGTACAGTGCTGTGTTTCGGATCCTATATGAGAATAATGTTGGTAACACACTGATGTTTTAGTTGTTGCTATGTTGTGCCATCAAGGACCTTTCAGTGCCCCATGCTCTGCCAGTGAGCAGATACACAAGATATTGGGGGTGAGCAGAGTCAAGAGAGTAGACCTGAAGTAGTCAAAGGGATACTCCACACCACATACCAACATGCCTAGTGTACAAACTGGGTAGAGTTGGCTGGGAGGGGCCAATTGCTGTTGGAGGACAGGCTGGGCATCAGTCAACAGGTGGTGTGCAACTGTATTGTGCATCACTTGCCTTTCTGGGCTTTTATTCCTCTCTCTTTCATTTCAAGTATTACTGTCATCAGTGTCATTAGTATGTTACTTTTTCTGTTTCAATTATTAAACTCTTGTTAGCTCAACCCACAAGTTTTACTTTTTTTCCTCCTCTGATTCTCACCCCTGCCAGGGAAGGAAACAGAGGGGCAGGAGGAGTGAGTGAACAGCTGTGTGGTACTCAGCTGCCAGCTGGGCTTAACCCACAACACTTTAGATACTTATTTTTCACAGCACCTGACCTGTAAACACTCCAGTTCCCTTTGCATCCAGTTCTCAGTAGGGGCTACCTGCCAGAATAACAACTTATTCCAGGGCTTATCATCCGTTTCTGCTTTATACAACACATACAGCACAAAGAACTGTCTTTGTTATACGACAGACTCTGATTTTCACTAACAGAGTCACAAATAACAGGGACAAACAATAAACAGGAACAAACAAGATGGAAGCCCATTTTCCAATGTAATCTCAAGCAAAAGTCTCCATGCTCTATCAAAGACCTATGGAACTATACAGCAGATCCAGTTTAGGACTGACACAGCACAAGGTTAGTACAGCTAGGAGGAGAGTGAGGCTTATTCACGTGGCCAGTTATGTTCTCCTGATTTTGGTATAGATGTCATCAGACTGTAATGATCATGATCTCAAAAAGTGCTGCATTGTGGGTGAGGACTGCCCTATGGGACAAGAATCACCCCACCCCTCTCCTCAATCTGTGCCACTGTTCCAACAGCAGTGGGAAAAAGAAATGAAAATCAAAAGCAAATCCTCAACCTTCCTACACACTGCAAACTTCTGCAGCATGAACTTCTAACTGGCCAACAGTCAGGCTCTACCTAATCAGTGCTAAAGGCATCATGGAAAGGGATGTACTCCTTAATCTGATTCTTACTCAAGGTTTTTCCACACAGTGTTTTTTTGTTCTTTTTTTTTGTTCTTTTTCAACACATGTTCTGAAAGAACAGGTTCTCTTTCTTACCCTGAGAAGCCTTTCCATTTGAGCAGTATCTCTCAATTGCTTCTTTAACATTATGGCTACTTTTCAGAAGTTCATACAGTGCCTGTAAAATACAAAAAGTCTTTAGGAAGAGTCAGAGTTTTCTAATATCCAGCCTAGACCTTCAAAACCAGCCTTCCAGTGAGCATATATAATGCAAAAAAAAAAAAAAAAGGGATTTATCTTTACACATGACAAAAGTTTATAAATAACAACCAAAGGCAAAACCATCGCAAAGCTGAGACAAGGTTTCATTTAAAAAATGTAAACCATTATATGCAGTTATTTAAAAAGTTGAATTTGTCAACAGTTTGGTAATCAGAAACGTCACAGATCACAACACTGACAACGTTCAAACACTCACGATTTTACGCATATACTTAACATTACAAGTAAGATCCTGACCCCACCAACACCAAATTACAGAATGAAGAAATTGAGTACTGTTGCCTTTATACCACAAGGCAGAGAAAGAGACCACGTGTTAATCACACAGCAAATGGAGCAGGACACAAAACGTACTTGTTCGTTGTCCCGTATATTTAGTCCTTCAGGAATTCTGCCAATCATTTTCTCATTTCCTGTTCTTAAGGACGTTTCAAAAAGGTATTCTTTAACTTTACTTTCTGAGATCACATCAGGTTTCCAAAGCAAAAGGTCTTCATTTTCATATGCTGATAAAAACAGAAACCCATTAATGCCGTGTGTGGCGGTTTTTAGGGTGCAACATTAAAAGCTGTTTCACAGACACAAAGCACAGGAACGCAGAAGTAATCAAATCAAGCATGACCATGTCACTTTTAAATTGCAGCTCACTTTGGCTATTGAGTCATTTTCAACCAAAATTTGCCAAGAATAACTTAACTGAGTGGTGTTCTAGATCCCAATGTGACTTGCTTTTCCACTCACTAACAACTGAATGCTGTTAGAACTTGGTATGTTGCATATTTTACAAGTACTGGGGATGTACAGTTCTACTTCATAGTACACTGAAATCATGTATGTACCTCTGAGGGAGCTTATTTCAAGGACAACATACTGGACATGCACAAGAGTTGGCCCGAACCTTTGCCAGTCTGTGCACGTTTTAAAACTAGATTAAACTATAAATCCTAAACTATAAATTTACTCTGATCAATAGATGTGATTAACATTGCACATAATGTTTTATGTACTCTCTTGGCAATAAAGGAGTAGAGTTATTCAATTCAAATACAGAAGCACAGTGGCTGTTAGAGCAGAAAAGATGGAGATCCTCAAAGCTCTCTTAAAACTACAGGAAACAATATTAAGCTAAGGAAAGGAATAAAATTATACTTCATCTGGAAGTTCTTTTATGGCTTAAGAACACCAAGTGCTTTCAGACAGACACAGAATCACAGAATAGCACCATAAAGGTTGGAGGAGACCTCTGAGATCGAGTCAAACCATTAGCTGCCACTCTGATGTGACCCCTAAACCTTAAACCGTATCCTCCAGCGTCAGATCCAGATGCCTCAAAGTTTACAGGAGAGCAGAACTGCCTTCTAAGACAGTTCTGGTACCTGGAACTACATAGAACAAAAGTAAGCCCTTGTTTGCCATCCCTAGCTCTTCAGGGAGTATACAGAAAAGGCTTTCAGAGAATCCTCCACCTCTACAGCCAGGTTCAGCCTTATCAAGCACCGCTGACACTCAGACTCCTTTATCAGCCAAGACAATGCAGCACGTTTTGCTGGAGTCCATGACTGGTAACTTCAGGAGCAGCTCCTCAGGCTCTCTGATCTAGGAGCTACCCTGTTGCTCTTAGTCAAGACTCACTGGTTCTCTCCAGGACCAGCTCGTTAAGAGAAAGTTGCCAGATTAACCCCTCCTTGGTCATCCTCTCGTTATCGGCACCTCCTCAGAAGCCAGGATGTGTAACTCAGGACAGAACTACCCATATAAATCCAGTTCATACTCCTCCCGTTCTCACAGCCCATCAGCACCATGCGTGAATCTCAGAACATCAAAGACTTCCCTAGATCTTACGCAACACAAGAGATGTTCACTTCCTAATGCTTCCAGCTGCATCCATACCAAATACTCCTCTAACTGCAAAGAAGCATGTGGCAATGGTGAGAAGATTTGACATAAGCGACCAAGATAATATCCCCATGCAATATTAACAACTTACAGAATATTAAAAATGTACAGGAAAGATTCCCCTCCATTTATCATTATTATTTCCCCCTAGCTGTTCCTTAATTTCATAGCTGTTCCACCCCAGGGCAATTTTTTTTCATTACCTGCCTTTTTAATTCCACAGCTCTAAGTGCTAGGTTTCCACAAATAACAAACAAAACTCTATTTAATAAAGTTCTTTTCTCTACCCTTACACAACTGCAGTTTTTAACTCAAATCTGCACTGGAATAACTTCATCTTTACAACATTTTATTGGTTAAGAGACAGTGTATCAGGATCGACATCAAGGACAGTTACAAAAGCTTACTGCTTTGTTTTCCATATCAATTTTGTAATTCAGACTGTTGCACTTGCCAAGAAACAACCAAAGAAATACACTGTTTTGAGTATCTTCAATGTAAACTAGGTTACATGCTCTTAGCCTAGTCATGATTCTCCAATGAAAGTACTTCCTTCTTGACGCCCAGTTAGTTGCCTCCTAAAATTACCAGATACTTCAGAATCATCACTGAAATCCACCCTCCAATTGTGCCCTGAGAATGTCCTCTCAAAGCTGCGGAGTCACACTTCTGAGGCATAATTATATGGTTGTGTTACTTCAGTTTTCTAGTGCCTTTTATCATGGTCTCTGGGAGTTTATAAAATAACATTTTTTTCCATCAAGTGCTATGTATTAACACAAAATAAGAAGTAAAACAGTCAGAAGAACTTACCCTTTTCATCATCACTGCATCTGCCAAGGTAAGGTGGAATTTCAGCCTGGTATTGTGAACCAACCATTATTTCCTGAAAATGTAATAAAAATGAAGAGAGAAAGGTATTAACAATAACTTCTGTACAGAAGCATTAAAAATGTCATTAAGCTGCAGTTTGACAGAGAATTCCAGAATTAAGGTGCTATTTTAGACACATGCTAAAAACCTTTATGGATTTTTCTTAACAGTAAAGTTTTATTAACTTTTTGAAAATACAATTATTACCTTCCTCAAATCTTCAGACGAATTACCATTGTCTGCCTCTACATCTTCACCATCTGACTCCTTATCTCCATCGCACGTGGTGTTTGCTTCAGAGATAAAGAAGTTTGGTTTTAGCTAGGAAGAATTTTCAGTTCAAATACAGAACTAGGTAACCTTTACTTTGGAAAAGAGCACCTGCTTTTATTCAGGAAGACACTTATCCTGAGTGTTGATCCACACTTCTATCAGAGCAAAACTAGCATGAAGTCAGAATGCACTGGTACTTGTGTACTGCAGAACACAAACATTTATCATCACTCCAGCTGAGACAATCTATGTATTTCTGAAAGTCAAAAGGAAATGAGATCATTCTCCTCTGTAGATTTACTCAATAAAAACTTATACCTTAGAGAAAAGGTATGAGAAAAAAACCAGAAAACTTACACAGCTATGACACAGCCTCAGGTTAATAGCAAGGAGAGCAGAGCTGGAGGCATGTCTTTATTACCTACTAAAACCTTTCATCAGAAGCTTTAATGGGCATTCAAAACATTCCTTGAAACGAGGCTGCCTCGGCATGGAGTGAGGATACAGGAGAGACACACAAAATGGAGTAAGTAAAAGCAACAGACTGCTTATTCCTCTTTTATATCTTCCCTGAGGAAGAAATACAGCAGAGCCCTTGAAGCATGTCAAATACAGCACTCCACAGATAACTCATATTTTAGAATCTGGAACACTGAGGTATTGGGTTCTGAAGTAATTCTGGTTTTATAGATGTGTAATCCCTGGCAGAATGCAATCTACAGTTCTGGTATGATTAAACCTATTTTGTATTCTCAGACCTCAGAAATGACATACTCAAACCGGGCTGAAATTTTCGCTTCATCACAACTAAAAATAATCATCAACATCAATATCCAAGATTGTATAGACTGAGGCTCTTCTCCCGCAGTCATTACTACAATCACCAGTCTCTCTCTGTTTGGCTTTACAAGCAGCAAACAAGGACTAAACTGAATACACGAAACAATATGCCTGGACAATCACAGGCAAGTTTTTACCCACTTAATGGAAATTTAACAAAATACCCTGTATTATGTATCAGACATGTTTATCTTAAAACCTAATGTTAGCTTAGTATCTGAGAAATGGACAGAGATCAGGGAAACAGATGGAACTGCCAACAGCACGGAGAACTGACATCTCCCTCCTGGAAACAGTGGATATTTGGTTTTAAAATGTCCAGCCAGAACTCCTAATAAATTAAGATCTTGATAGAAAACCATGACAGCTAAGAACAAAGACAGCTATCTTCTAGAAGCTGCTGCACTTTCAATGCCATATGCATTAACAGTTCACAGGTGCCAGCAAGTCTGGGGTTTGCTTAACTGAAACAAGGGCATTGCAACTTTTAGTTTGTCTCTCTCTTCAACGAAAATGTCTTACATGTATCACACAGCAGCAACAACTGCTGGTGACTGAGGCAGCACACCCCCTTTAGCCTCTCCTTCCCCAGAGGAACGAAATCCCCCATGGAACAGCTTAAGATATTTGCCAAATTAAAACTGTGATAAAAATCCTCCACACTGCTCTAACTCTGGAACACCAGTGAACAAATAAGATGCAACAGGCAATGAGGAATATCTCATCCAGGCTGGATAACCAAACCACTGGTTCTCAGATCTTTCCCATCCATGGATAGTGAAACTTTGGCAGTCATGGGTTTACAGGTCCTGTCCCATACAAAACTACTTGGTGCCACTCCACAAAGTCCTACAGAAATGTGTCAAGTGTGTGAAAGGAAAAAATGACACTGTGTCCCAGTTCACATCCACACAGAGGAGTCATTGGCTTAAAAGCAGCGTAAAAACTTCAGCAGTGAAGCATTAATTTAAAAGAATGGGTTATGTATTCATATAGTTCACTAGCACACTGAAAATCATGAGAAGTGTTCCTCAGTACTGTGTTAGCTATTGACTATGAAGCTACTGCATTTACAGATAAATCAACTCTTAATAACTAATGATAAATAACTTGTGTTTTGAGCAGAGAACCAAATACAAGTCTTTCAGGTAATCAGTAACACCAACCAGAGACAATATTCAGGTACAACATCCTGCAAAGCACTTGTTCCTCAGCTCCTGGTACAGTGAGCCCTACTCTGAAATTTTGGCATTCTAAGGTAGGAAGCTAAATATAATGCTAAGACTTTTAGACTACTGTTATAAAATCAGGTTTCCTACATCGTAATGGCCGAGGAAAGAAGTCAGTAGCCTCATGTGAAGTAACTGATGGTGTCAAGTCATCAGCAGAGGACTGTGTTTCTTCATCATCTCCCGACAAGAGGTCTTTAGCGATTTCCTCCTGCATCATTAAGATAAAAAAATAACACCTCAGACTGACTATTAAGTACCGACTGGTGAGCATTCAGTTTCAGCAAACTGTCTCTTTAATTAAAATGAGTTACTTTAGCATAAGAGAATTTAGCAGACCATACACCCTTCACTAAAAAGCTACTTTGCTCCTCTTAAACCTAAGAACAAACATAACCATTCATGTCACACAGAGGTTTGTTTTCCCTTTGTCTTCTGTTAAAACAAAGGCAAAAGAAGTAACTTCTGCAAGCATCAATCTCGGATGCTCCTCCAATTGCTTCCAGTAAAAAACACCAATAGAAACCGCGTCAGATCTTTAGAATTCTGTCATTCTTTGCATCACAAATGTACTGAAGCTTTAAAAGTCTGTTGCCCCCTAAACTCTGGGAGGAAGAAAATAACCCCAAAACAGCAGCCAGGGGTTTTCGTAGACTTTTGCTGAGAGGACAGAGAATGGACAACTTCACGAAACACAAAAATTCTGATGCCTCTGTAGGTTAAAGAAAAGGTGTTCAGAAAGAAAAAGCAAACTTCCTCCACCAGCAGACATGTCCGAACCCCTCTGATAGAGATTTGGAAAGGAAAGAACTGTATTAGACAACAAGCCGACTACATTTTTGTAGTCTCAACACAATCGTGAATCCTAATGAGAATCAGATGCGCAGAGCCATCATTATACCCTTCTTTCTGCAGAGTTACCATTACATCATACTTGCAGAAAGGGAATAAAATACTCAAAAAATACATATACTTACTACTTGCATAAGCTCAACTACAAGCTGCATATGCTCTGTAACCAAAAATCAGATCAAAATATCAGAATTGCAAACCATAAAAGCTGAAGTTTCAGGTTTTTTTCATCAGCAACGCAGCATATTTAGTCACTGCACATAAAACGATCTCACTCCTCAAAGCTGAGACCTTCCCAAATGATATGCATTTGAAAACAACATCCTAAAGCATCCAGAAGTGCATTTTCAATTTATACACACCCATTTTTGATACTTGGTGTGTGCTGGAAGTCAGAGCTACTGTCAGACATTGCATGTATTATGGAAAAATCAGTTATAAACAATAAAAAAACCAAAATTCAAAACACCTACTTAAAGCTCTATGCATGTGTTTTAGAAAAGCTGTGAACATACTCATTTCTCATTTGCAGTTATGCAGTGCCATTAAACTTGCTATGCATTTGTAAGAGTTGTAATTATTAAAACTAGATCCTCAATATCCCTGAAAAGGTAGGAATTCAGAGTGATAATGTACATCGAAGTTAACAAAGATAGATACATGTCTTGTAACATCAAGAGATAGTGAAACAATGTCACCTGGATTTCAGCTCTTAAACAGCAATTCAGGGGAAAACAATTCTGACTTACTTTATCTAGAGTCATATCTGGAAGTTCATCTGCAAGTTCACTTGGGGAGCTATCTGCACTGGAGCCAGCCATAACTGGAATCGTGGGTTCATAGCCATAGAAGGCCAGTAAATCTTCCAATGGCATGTTTCCTTCCTAATGCAAAGAGAGTTACAAACACTTCAGTATATCGCCAAATAGTTGTGAACGATTCAGGCTGACAAGGATAAGCCATATTTTGAACAAAAGTAGAAAACCAACAAAGAAAAACTTAACTCAAAG